TTGTGACGCAGAAAACTTACCTATCTGGAACAGCCATACTTAACATTAAAGGCTCAGCCAGAAGCTTTTATCTGGGAACCTACTAGATAAAAGGGGAAGCACAATAGATCTAATTAGGTCACAGTACAGAGAGGTCCATAACCTGAGCACATCACCACAATCTACAATAAAGCCAGAACACGGCGCTTTAGACCAGCTAAAAAAAAAGAAGAAATAGAAGAAATAGAAGAACAAGAACACAGAACTACCGTCACTACCGAAACCAGATAATTTAGATAACTTCCACAGAGAAAGTATAAAGGGCTTATACAAAATTCGACTTGATGAATAGCTTTAATAATACACAACATTTATATCAAGGATTACCCAAAGAGCACCGCGGAAGAAGTTCTGAGAAATTACGAGAATCCCAGGCGAAAAGAAACATACTGGTGAGATGAAAAAATCGAGGAGATGATAATCATAAAAAGAGAAAAATACATCAAATATCTCAACCTAAAAACGAGAACAAAATTTCTCCATGAAAGTAGGGACAAGACATGATGTGTCCGAAGGATTTTATAACAGCAAAAACCTCAAACAAGGTTGTCTGTCTCTAACTCTAGGTATTGAAAATTTATTTGGAGCAAACACTGAAGATATGGCTGGGCTGCATGGCCCAAGATTATAAAGACATGACCTGTATGCAAATCTAAGAATACCGTAAATTGGGTCTGAACATGATCATTAATCATATGTTTATTGGTGGAGATCAGCACAACTTGATCCTGGATCAACAACAACTACGAAAGTCATGAAAAAACTGGTTAAAAGGCAAATGTTGGACTTCCTGTCTCAACATTCTGTCTTTAACTCTTCTCAATTTGGGTTTCTTCCCGGCAAAAATACCCATGATGCCATGCTTCGTGTTTTGAAACAGCTCTTTATACACTACAACAATGATCGCTCTGCTGCGGGGGTTTTCTGCGACTTCTCGAAAGCTTTCGACTGCGTGGATCATAGTGCATTGCTGCGGAAGCTTGTGGTCTATGGACTCAGGAGTGTGGTTTTAAGGTGATTCGAATCATATCACTCCTTCCGAAAGTAAATAATGTTCCGATCATTTTCTCAACACGGAGTTCCTTATGGATCTGAACTGGTATTTGAGCCTTATGCTAATGATCTTTTTCATCTAGATATATCTGGAATGTTTACTGCTTTTGCGGATGATGCCACTGTGGAAAAGAGGAACCCTGATGATCTGGTTCGAAAAGGTTTCAAGCGAGATTGTGTGATGCGAATAGATTCTTGTTGCATGTGGTTGCTACTGTGTACAAGCAGTGGCAGCCAACTTATGGGTGTCTCGATTGCTGGGGTGGTTTACTATTCGGTTATGCAATCTCATCTTTCCTTTGGTCTGCCATTCTGGGGTGGCTGTAAGCAACCGCCACTAGACTGGAGGGAAGGGTTAATCTTCTCAATATTTAAAAAAAAGAACAGATTGGACTGTGAAAACTATGGAAGGATTACCGTCACAACCTCAGTAGCCAGATTACATAGACGTATTCTAGAAAAACAAAATAGAAATCGAGTTCCAAGAATCAGAGGAGCAAAATGGTTTCAGGGCAGGACGTTCTTGTATAGATTGAGTGTTTACTCTTAAAAATCCTATTGAAAAAGGAGTAGAACGAGGTAGACAATTCCAACTGATCTTTGTATACTTACAGAAAGCTTATGACACGGTGCCACTAATTAAGTTGTGGTTAGCAATTTATCTAAATGAGATAAGCAACTCATATCGTCGGACTCATGGCATAAGTTTATATCTCGAGACTCGAGATAGGGCCAAAATGAGTTAAGTTGATAGATATGTTGCATTTAGTGTATACTTGTTTTTAGCCAAGGTTCTTATCTTGAAATCAGTTAATTTCGTTAAAAAATTGAGAAAACACGTGACCCTATCTTGAAATATGAAGTTTTATTACAGCATTAACGCGAATCTTGCGACACACATACAATTTTGAAATGTGGTATTTGATCAAAAATGTACATGCCAAAAAAAAGAGACCAAAAAATCGGTATAGTTCTTTGTATTGTAACTGTTGGCGTAAAGATATAGTTTTCTCTTAATTGCTCTCCTGAAAATTTGTGTAAAAGGAGATAGGGTCATGAAACCAACGATATGTAAATGCTATCAAACCTCTGATACAACAAAAGGTCTAAGACAAGGCTGCTCCCTTGCTCCACTGCATTTTCAAATTTGTATTGAGACTGTCCTAACATCTTAAAAGAGGAATGTAGCGGCATGTGCTTACCGATAGGAGAGGACATACTTTTCATTCTCTTTTTTTGCTGACGACCAGGTACCTATAGTTATAACTGAAGATGAAGATGACTCCAGTTACATGCTGCAAGAACTCCAACAAGTATATGAAAAACCAAGAAGCTGGAAAAATGACGTCATGGAGGCCATGAAAAAGAAGCCTTATTCAAGAAGGCGACTGGTGGAACCGAGACTTATGAAAAATGAGAAGCGAGAAACGACGACAGTTGTGAACTTATGAGATCTAGTTTAACTATTTATTAAGTTTTGTTAGATAGGTATTTACTGTTAAATGTTTTAGTTTTGTTAGGGTGTGTTTATTCATCTATTCATTGCATGCATGCTAAGCTTGCTAGCTGTTAAGGGACATTCCATTCTAGATGTCAGATTTAGGTCAGCTTTATCAATAAGATTTTTTGTAATCTTGGACAATAAATCACGTTTACTACTACTACTACTACTACTAATACTACTACTACTACTACTACTACTACTACGACTACTACTACTACTACTACTACTACTACTACTACTACTACTACTACTACTACTACTACTACTACTACTAATACTACTTCTTCTAATAAACCACTGTAAACAATACAAATATTTTGGCCTGCAGATACTAACGACGGTAGCCTAGATCCCTAGATGAATAAATAGGGAGCCGAAGCAAGGCAGGCGACTAGACAACTTAGCAGTATAGTGTGGGATAAAATAAAATACAAAGATAACAAACACGGTATTCAAAAAGTCAACACGAAATAACTGAGGACATCCGACTGAGATGCTATGGACGAGTTTAAATAAGGGACGAAAACAGAATACCAAAAGAGTATCGTATTGAAAACTGCAAGGAAAACGAAAAAGGGAGAGACCTAAGGGAGTTGGAAAGAAGATATGTAAACTGATCAATATGTCATTAATGCCACTTCACAAGTCAAAGATTCCGGAAAAAAAGAGAAATAAAAATAAAAGGGAGGTAAGGCAATAGGACTCTTAATGGAAGATGTTTTCAGGAAGTTATACTTTGATAGGTATCAATATCGATGGACACCTAAATCACCTCCGTTTTGTGAATGATGTGGTAGAGGTAATAATAAGCAGCAGTCCAAGAGAAAACTACAAGAAAAGATGGTTTAACTGAAAACAGCAGATAACGTCAGTCTCACAATGGGCTGCTATTGGAAGTATTGGAAATCTCTTGAAAAACCCTGATATTCCGAAAAACCTCGAACGCAGAGTCTTCAATGTACCTGTATCCTCTTTCTGTGATGCATTACGGCATGAAGACGATGACACCAACTATCAAATACATCATCATTATGGGATCAAAACCACTCAAAGAGCAATCAAAGGACTCATACTCGGCATAAGCCTGAAAAACCTTATATGAAATAAAGACATCAAAGAACACTTTGAGAGAATAAGAGAGTTGGACGAGAAGAATGGTATAATGGAGACCTGGAGACAAGAGAAATTTTGGACTTAACACGTACCTAAGAAGAAGATTCGACGATATCGAAGAAGTTAGACAAGCATTGAAAATTCGAATTTGTTCAACAGAAAAACTGCTGATAAAAATGTATAAGAATATCATGAAAATGTTTTAATGGTTTCCATATTATTGTATATAAAAAATTTTAGATTAGGCTGGGCCTTTTCATCATCATCATTGCAACTGACATTTTTACAAGGACTGAAAAATGTTGTGACTCTAACTTTTCAGTCTATTTCATCAACTAAGTCTATTTCATCAACTAAACCCAGAAAAAGAAATACTCAAAAGGATCTCAATTTAATAGTTGGGTAAAGTTAGCACTTCGAGCTACAAATTATGAAAACCTCAAACAATTTAAACAGTTATGGCACATTCAACAACTTGTTCTTAAATTTCGGTGTCTGCAAAAATAATTACTACCATAAATTCTGCGTTCACTTTTCAATTCTTGACCGCCCAGCCTTGAGATATATTTTTTTCAACAACTCTTGCTCTTATTTACGTTACTCGTTTGCAGGAAATCGACACTCTACCTTTTCAGAACACCGTGACGTTTTGATTGATTTAAATAATACACTGTTTTCTGATCTGAAACGTTGTTTCTGCATGCAGCGTTTCTGTTATGCCAAGGTTTCAAGAATCGGGTTACGCTGGGAACCTAATTATCTTGTATTGTGAAAATCGAGCGTAAATCTTGAGTGTGTGAAAAGAAATTGAAACTTGAAGATAATGTGCAATAAGCATTCGATATTCGAAGAATGATACCTAAAATTAAATGAGATAAAATCGATTTAGATAAATATTTCGGATTAACTATGAGCTCTTCATCCAAAATTAATAGCAGTCTAAAAATGACCAAAAAATAGGAAAACGTAAAATGTTTCTATTTATTTATTAAATTGAGCAAATTTGAACTATTTCACTAGTTTGTTATGTAAATTACTTTACGCACTAGTGCGTGAAACATAATTTCAAGTGTTTTAAAGAGTGCGAAAAATAAGTTTTTGCACTGCATGCCTTTTTTGCAGAAAGCAAGCTTTCAAAATTGGAGGAAAATCAGTTTGTCTATATAAACAAGTAACAAACCAAATAAAAAAATGTCTCATGGTCCTATTAATGTCTTTTTAGATAATGTAAAATTACAAAGCAAATTAGAAATATTAAATAAACAAAAAAAAAATAAAAATTGGTACCTACCATTTTGGATAAAGAAATTCAAAAAAAAAAAAACAAGAAAAAAGTCCACACAGTGGTAGAAAATCCAAAGAAAAAAATCGCACTAAACCACCGCTATCACACAAGACGACCTAAAAACCGCTTTCAAATCGTAAATAAATTTCAAATCGACCGCGCGACAGCTCTTTCGCTGGTACCAATATCAAGCTACTGCACCGAGACGAAGAACTGTATGAATTTCGTCGCATAAGGCCCCTACCAGCAGGCACCCTGTCTCTTTCCTATCGACGGTACCGCCGTTAGGCTTGTCCTTATCCAGCACCCAGAACATATAGCACGGCGCGAATTCGAAAGTTAATCACCTTGTCTTTGTCTAATAAGAATGGTGTGTGTGGAATAAATGCGAAGCGGTGCCTAAGTATAAGTTTGTCAAATGGGGTACTAACTACCTATTTATGTGGGTTTTTTTATGTTCGTTAACTAAGAGTTTCAGTTACTTTGACAAATAAATGGTGACAATTATTAATATTCAATTCGATAATTTGTCAAAATCTTCACTACCACAACATTGAGAGACTATTATAATTAGGTATGCAAGTATATTATAATCTCACACGCTATATTTTTAACACTGAAAGGCAGAATTGATGAGGTACTCATGGACTTTTAAATTCAAACGTTGAACTCTTTCTAATCTCCTAAAATGAAAGCTTAGGCAAAGGAAATGGCCTTTCAGGATCTAATTTTTTAGGTTCTTTTATAGACAGGCTCGTCTAAGAGCAGCGGTTGTTGAGATTCAACTTTTTGATTTGAATATTCGTTGCATGTAGCATGTGGAAGGTGGTATCATCATTATCATCATCCTCATCGTCATCACCCAGCCATTTCCGTCCGCTATTGGACATAGGCCTCCTCTAGATACTTCCACTTCCCTCTGTTTTGAGCGGTTGCAACCCAATTTGTATTGAGTCTCTTCAGATCATCCTTCCATCTCGTGAGAGGTCTTTCTCGGTTGCGCTTGTCCGATCTTGGTCTTCACTCTGAAACTTTTTTTGTCCATTCACCATCCTTCTGCCTTGCGACATGACCAGCCCACGTTCATTTAGAGTTTGCGAGTATCCTGTATTATGTCCTCCACTCCAGTTCTTCTTCGGGTCTCGTCGTTTCTCATATTGTCTCTCAGAGTTATTCTCAGCATCGATCTTTCCATCTTGCGTTATGTAACACGTAGCTTTCTGGCTGATGCTTTTGTGATTGTTAAGGTCTCTGATCCATAGGCGAAAACTGGCAAGATGCACGTATTAAAAGTTTTCCTCTTCAAGGATATGAGTATATCATGATATCTTAATATATATCTGAGCAGACCATATGCCGCTCTACCGAGAGTGATACGCCTTAAAAGTTCGAACGTTTCATTGTTTCTATCAATTCTAATCTCATGTCCCAAATAACACTATTTTTCCACAAATTCTATATCTGCTCCGTGAATTTGTATATTTTCACTGGGGACTAGGTTTGTCATTGACTTGTCTTGCCGTAATTGATGTTTAGACCCACCGTCTGCATTGCCCTTTGAATTTCTTGTAGCATTTTCTTGTTGTAGGTTGTCTGTGATTAGTACTAGCTATATCATCCGTAAAACGGGGATTATTTAGGTTTTCTCCATCTACAGTTATGCCTTTGTTGTCCCATTGAGTTTTGAATGTCGCCCTGTCTTACTCCTCGTTCGATATCTATTTTTGTGTAGTTTTATGTATTTTTACGGTTTTTGTTAAATTTTTGTAGACATTGTAGATGATATTGGTATATCGATAGTCTATCCTACATTCTTTCAAGGTCCCTAAGATTGCGCTAATCTTGACCGTATCAAAGGCTTTTTGGAAATCTACAAATATCAATACTAGTGGTCTATTGTATTCAACGGTCTTCTCAATAAGTGTTTTTAAACATTGCAAATGATCATTTGTCCTATATCAGGAGCGGAAGCCAGCCTGGTCTCTTGTTTGATAAAAATCGAGCTTAGCTTCTAGTCTTGACGTTATTATACGGGTGTACAGTTTATAGATATGATTTAGGAGGCTAATGATATATGGGTCTATAAATTATTAAACTGCGTTATGTCCCTTTTTTTTGTGGAGGAGGATAGTAATCGCATAGTTCCATTTCGACAGGATCTCTTGATTGTGTAGACATAGGTTAAAAAGCTTTTGTATTTTTTCTATTAACACAGGTCCTCCTATTTTTATAGCTTCTGCCACTACTCTGTCATTCCCAGAAGCTTTGTTATTTTTCAATTTCCTCAGGGCATAGTAAATTTTCTCTTTTGTGATATCGGTATGATGATAGATTTCTGGGTTAATTTGAAAATGTGACTTCCGTCTTCTAATTCCCGATCTCCAACCATCTGTATCACGAATCCTCCTCCAAGCCTCTGTCTTCCATTTTCTCGCCTAATATGCTTCTTCAACTTCTTATCAGTCTATCGTGTCTTTTTCATTCCCCTGGCTTTCACTCAATGAGTCACTCATTCTTGTATCTGTCCTTCTTTGTACATGTCCGAACAAAATCAGTTGTTGATCTTTGGCCACCTTCTGTAGTTATCCAAATTAACATCAATTGGGAAACAAAGCGGCGGAGCTGCTGCCTTGTAACTAGATCAAAGGCTAAAGGAAGACATTTCATTTTAATATATATATATATATATATATATATATATATATATATATATATATATATATATATATATATATATATATATATATATATATATATATATATATATATATATATATATATATATATATTCACCAACATTATCTAAAGTTTTGTCTGCTATTATTATGTTTTCCTCAGTCCTGCTCATTATTTTTGTTTTTGATAAATTCATTTTTAATCCAACGTTATTTAAAGCTTCGTTTAGTTGTTCTAGCATGTTCTTAAGCTCCTGGATATATGAACTAATAAGCACTATGTCATCGGCAAAGCGTAAATGGTTTAAAAAGGTACCATCAACGTTGACACCTTTATTTTCCCACAATAGCATTTCAAAAACGTCTTTCAAGGCCAACGTAAAAAGTTTTGGAGATATAGGATCACTCTGGCGAACTCCCCTGTTAATTGAATTTTTTTTCGGTTCTCAGGTCTTCCGTTATTTTCACACGGAAAGTTGCGCTTCTGTATACATTCTTAAGAAGGGTAGAATATCCATCGCAAGCAGGACAGCCCATGTTTCAATAGAGTCAAGTGCATTATGAAAATCTATAAAGGCGAAATGAAGTGGTATGTTGTATTCTGATGTTTTCTCTTTTAACATTTGAATGGTCTGTAGGTGATCCATAGTGCTGGAATCTTGCCTGCTCCACTGGTTGATCTAATTTAGTTCATTAGTTGTCAGTCGGTTTGAAAGGATCCTTGTTAGTAGTTTGCAAAGGTGGGACAAAAGGCTGATAGGTCGATAATTTTCAATGTCCTTGATGTCGCCCGTTTTAAAAAGCAGAATAACTTCTGCATTGTGCCATGTTTCAGGGATATTGCCTTCAGATAAACATTTATTAAATAACACCTGTAGAATTTGTTCCATTCCGCCCATTTTTAGCATGTCACAGGTTATTCTGTCTTCCCCAGGGTACTTACGGTTCTTCATTTGTCCTAGTGCCACCCTTATTTCCTCTTTGGTTATATCAGGAATTTCTTCTGAGCCTACATTGCAAACGGCAACTTTCTGAGTATTAGGATCCCGCACAACAGAGGTATACAGACGACGATAAAAGATATCTATATGTTCAGAGATATCGTCTCTTCCAGTCAATTTATGGTTATTCTCATCCTTCATTTTGACAATTCTGCTTTTCCTAGGCAAAAGTCTCGATCTAAGAACTTTCATATGTTAGAGTTGCCCTCAATTACGGTTTGAATTATTCTGATATTATAGGATCTCACATCCCTTCTCACTTCCCTCTGTATTCTCTTGTTGAGCTACCGGTACTCATTTGCATCTCTGGAAGTTGTTTTCCATTCTTTTATAAGTTTTAGTATGTTTGGCGTTATCTTATTGTCTCTTGGTGTTTCTTAATTATTGTGTGGATGTCTTTGCTTATTTTCTCAGCGAGATGATTCAAGTTCGTTCCATGTATGTTGACAATGGGTTTTAATTTCTTCCCGAATTCTTTTCGAAAGGTCTCTTTATGGACGTCTATTTCGTTTGCAGTTGGAAAAATATGCTTATTGAAAAGTTTTGCTCTTCAATTCTCAGGTTTAGGGAAATTGTAGCTCTGATCAACCGGTGGTCGCTTCCAGTGTCAAACTGATTTAATTGTACCATTTGAATTTCTCCATGTCCATCTCCTTTGTTTGGGTTTCTTAAAGAATGTGTTTAAACAGTATACATTTTCAGCTACAATGTAATCAAGGAGCATGTCACCGGGGAAGACAGTATCGACCACAAATCACCTAGTCCTCCTGGTAAGAGGTTGATGCATGGGGCTAACTCCCTGTTATTCAGAAAATCTAGAGACTGTTGAAATACCTAATCCATCTCCTCAGAACACGATCGAAAATCAGAGACGAACTAGGCAACGAAAAGGGATAATAAGTAATGGTACATAGAACGTTCAAGGCATCTCTAGGAATGCAAATGAAGTTATATATAAAAAAAGGACAGGATTCAGAAAATCTGGGAGAGTACGATCACTTCTTCAGTAGGGTTCAAAAAAACTTGAGAGCAAAGAAAGGAGTTTCGATTATCATACATAACATAGAAAACGAAGTATAAACGAAACAATGTTTACTTTGTAATGTCGTTAGTTATCGGAAGATGTAGCAAGATTGATGGGCTCTTTCGAAAAAGATTATAGTTGACTATTTTGCAAGAAATTTCACCACGACAATGTGAGCAGTCTATTTTGTATACAGAGCAGTTAAAAAGCAATATTAAATACACTATCTACTATATGTAGATCTTCAGGCAATATCCGAGCCACAGATCACCTAATACAGATGCGTAAGTACGTATACTTACCGTCGACGATATTCTGTGACGAAGCCGGGGAGCCAGCGCCTTGACGCATAGATACAGATCGCCCGCGTCAGGACAATTAACGTGGCCGGGTGCGTGAGCATGTTCCAGCGTTCCAGCCTGTGTGTTTACATATTTTTTGCGGGTAAAAAAGAATATTTTTTTGCTGTTTGTGAACCAATTAA